GTTGAAGAAGAAGGACACTGGACTTTTACCCTCCTGGGGTTTTCTTCCTCGGGCTGGGGAGGTGTTGGCCCCAGGGTGGGGGGCTTGGGGGTGGGACAAAGCTTCTGATTGGATAACCTTTCACCTAGAACTGTCAAATCGAGTTTGATGAAAGCCAGTATCTATACTGTGTGTGTGTAGTGTCTCATATGCTGGGCAGGTTGTAAAGCTCTTTCAGACAAATTTACAGTTGGGGCTTGCATAAATAAAACTGACTCTACTTTGGTGCTTAACATATTTTAGAATGGTAGTTTTACATTTTGCAATCTGCTTATACAAAGTCTGCAACGCACTGGGACATACAGGAATTATGGGATGAATTTTATGGGATAACATCAACTCCAGATTGTTTCAGGACTTGTTTACTCATTCATCCAGATAAGCCCTGGTCTCTGATTAACTTTGAGCCTAAAATGTATATCAAACCAATCCTTCTGCAGAAGGCAGCATACTACCCTAAATCTGTCTTCTGTTAGTCTCTCTTGCCAGTATACTACAAATTACTCTTACAGTACAGTCATGAACAGGTTGCAAATGTGACACTTTATGGCAGCACAGAACTATGAGGCTGTAAGGTTGATGTGCTCAAAAATAAAACAAGCTATGGAAGCCATCAAATAACACTCATGGACTGGAAAAACAGCCGTCAGAGCCTCCTACTTTAGCATCCCACTCCTGAATTAATGCTTGATATTTTATTCATTTGGACTACTTTGCTGTTGATTGGGTTTGTTACTTTTCCTGTTTATTGAATTTCATTTCTGGCCTCTTAATACTTTCTCCCAGTTCAGTTTTTTCTTTTTTTGTTGAAAAGAACACCCTTCTCAAAGAAAGAACCACATCAAAACAATAATTGCAATCAATCTGAGGAATGGTCTGCTGGCAAGATGATCATTTATGGTCTAATAGCCACTCTGCCATGCACAACATTCTGTGAGAGCAATAAGCATTAGAGCTTAAACTGCACAGTGGGCACTAGGTTCAGTTTCAGCTTTTATTTATTTAGCAATCAAGAAAAATAGCTTTTCCGGTCTGTGTTCCGGAGGGGAGATCAATAAAATCCCATCTGCTCGGTGACTGGTCTGGATCACTTACTGCCCCATTATCAGTAGCATGTTCACTTCAGCCACACACATACAGTATAAAATGAAATTACCCCAGGGAGTTATTAAGGCTCCACCTACCTGTAATACTCAATGAAGGCTGTTTGGTCAGCAAGGGCTGCCAAGTCAACACTGGCTTTTTTGATGTCTGGCAGAGCAGTCAGCTCACGGACAACGTTGTTGACCATCAGCTGCATAAACCGCAGAACTTGGAGGTAGTCAGACCTTGTGGCAAAGATCTCATCCAGCCGTTCCAGGTGCTGTTTGAGTCCAGCTTCCACATTTCCCAGAGATCCTGCAACCTAAAAATAAAAAGAGATAGGAGAATGAAAAAAGTGAAAGAAAACTGGAAATAGTGGGTAAAAGAACATGAACTGAAAACGGGGTCAGAAGGAAATGGGAACATGTTGTAAATAAATTCCTATAAAGCAGATATTCATAAAAATAAGACTGAAAATACAAAGGTGGAAGAACCAAAGGAGCACTCCCTTGAGAAAAGATTAACTTTTCTCTTCAACCATGTGTTTCATTCAGATAAACAATGCAGAGTGGAATACAGATAACAATACCGAGGAGACCTGTTATCACAGGGGTCTTTGATAGTGAGAACAGAGGGGGAGGAGGCATGGCAGAGCAGAGTAAAGGCATTTACTTTTCTGTTTGAAGAAAAACAATGGGATTCAGTAAACATGTGCACTTTTCACTGGATCAATGCAGCTAGAAACAGGTAAATTTTAGATTGATGCTGACAGGGGGAAACAGTTTCGCTCTATGGATGCACTTCACTGACACCCACGGCCAAAACAGCTTGATACATTTACTGTTTATACAGTGACATTAAAGGAATTCTACTCTGCAAAGGTAAACACACGGGTTACTCACCGATATGTGAGCATCTTACTGGATGACAATCACGCATATGTATATTATTGGTTGTATTTTTTCTTTTTAACCTTTGTTGTTTTTCTCTCACTCCCATCTTGTTAAAAAAATTTCCCACAGCCTGAAATGTGTTGTCCTAGCAATAAGGTTGTTCTGTATCCTGCAAGACTTTTGACTTTTTCAGTGGTACTAATCTTTTTTGGTACTTATTCTCTACCAGAAAGCAAAGAAGCATATTTCTCCCCCAAAGTGTAACTATTTCATTAAGGTCGGAGAGTCTAGATTAAATAAACAGAAACATTTAACTGTAGGAACAAGCAAGATACTGTAAGGGACTTCTAAATCTCAAAGATAATTAGCAGATTACACACACACACACACACACACACACACACACACACACACTGCAATGAACTTCACCAAAGAGGATGTACTTAATTTTCTACAGAGTTGGAGGCATCACTGTTATTGTCAGTATTCTGATCTGCAGCAGTTCGCAGACATTTTCTTTATCTGTCATCTTTTCTCCATTACAACCATGACGTCTTTAAAACATTAAAGTACGAGTAAAGACTGTTCAGTCCCACACTATAAAAACTCCCTACAAAGAAGATAAAACGTATCTCAGTCTCCTTCACACTGTAACGTTTCAAACACCCTTGATTAAATTCTACTGAGTGGATGCTTCTGCTGGTTTGTTAGGAAGAGTATCCATGTGGAGATGAGGCAAAGATACAGGCCCATCCTCCACTCCAACACTCTCGAGGGAGAAAGTATATGATTGCCAGTAAACTGTTATCACTCCCCACTTCTATGTTCATCATCTCTCACAGTTCCAGCCACAACTCCTCGAATCTTATCTGCAAGCCAGTCTGAGTGTGAAAAATGGGATCCATCAGCTAGTTGCTCTGGGTGATCCACATTTTCCTAATCTGGACCATCCTGTCTTCCTTTAAAATGGATTAAAGTGCACATTTGCTGAAAGCGGGTCACAAGGACTCTCCTCCATATTGGAACGCCTGTTAAAAGAGGCTGATTTGAGGCTTGCAGCAGCAGTACTTCAAATGCCAATTTACATGCAGCTGAACTGCTCTGCCTGATGCCTTCAGTGATTTTCTATATCTGAGATTTACTGTATTAACTGTGAAAATAAAACAATATATACGATCACAGAGCTTTCATGTCAAGCAAGGTAATACACAGAGAAATAGGACACTGAGCAGAAACATTCAGGGGAATTGATATATGGTGCAGAAAGTAGCATTCATTTAGTTCCAAGAATCACAAGACAGTTTCACTTTCAAAGAGGAAGAGCTATATATAAAAGTGTAACCACGGTTCTAAATTGGAAGCGCACATTTGATAGAGTGTGATTGCCAGGTTTTCTCATCCGTTATTTATGGGCAGCACTAAAACGCTCTTAAAGCTGAACACTGGAAATAAGGCTGGAAAAAAAAGCCTTCCCTCAACAGCAAAGGGAGAATGGTCATTCTGATTAGAGCTTTCCCTGAGCCACTGCAGAGTGTGAGTGCAGATTTTATAATGAAAAGATCCTTAGCAAGCCAACAGTATAACCAAAGAGCTCCTAGTGTAAATCATTGCCCCCACAGGAGCCTTGTGAGGCACCGGCATTTGGTTGCTTTTGTTTCTATTTACTTTTCTGGACATATCTGGTATCAACTCAGTCTGTGAGATACCAGAAAGGATATATTTTTAAGGCTTTAAGTTAAAGCAAACTACTGATGACTTTTGAACCAAACACACATGACAGTGCAAAAAAGTATTTTGCAAACCAATAAAGAACAGCAGAGAAATTACTCTCAATCACAAGAATAAATACTGATCAAAGCAGCTTTACAGTAGCTTTATGGGATGCACAGCCTGCCAGCTCATCAGCTCTGTAAGTGGAGTGCATTACATGTACATCAAGCTATGATTCTGCAAGTGAGAAAGCCTTCTTTTCCCCTGGGGAGCATCTACATTTCTCAGCGCAGCCATAGAAAACTACATCATGCTACAGGAACTAATCAATACAAGGACACTGCAGAAAAAGTCAGCGGCAGGCATGTGAAATCATCAAAGCTGAATCCTTTTCACTTCCTACAGCACAAAGAAAATGCTGCACTGAAAACTACGCTTCTTTGGCAGGTGATTTGTTGCACCAAGTAATGCAGTCTAACATAACAGCCGTGCCAAAAATCCTGTCATCACAAAGGTAATAATGCTCACCTTTTGTTTAAAAGCTTGCGTTGATTCAACTTTATGGCCATTATGGAGGCTGTAGTTGTGTTCTGCTCAGTTATACTGTACCATACTAAAAGATGTTTCTAATATTTTGTCCACCACATTTATGTCAACAAGGGTAGACTAAATACAGATTTCAAAATGACCATAAAGTTTAATCAAAACCTCTTAACAACAATTTCAACACAAACTACACATTATAACCTTCAAGGCAAGAAGAATTATTTCAGGACTACTGAAATAAACTGTACTACTTGGTGTACAAAATAAACTGAGTTTATAATGTTTAAATATCTTTTACCCATCAGGACAGATTGTTTATTCATAGAAATCAATGTGTGAGCGACAAATGTATTAAACCTGTTATCTCTTCACATACACTAACATTCAGAGTACACAATAAAAGAGAGCACAGAAATCTATTTGTAGCCACATATTAATATAACCTGTGTACAAATTAGGCTTTTAAGCGGATGTGTGAGTGTGATACTCACATGCGTGCACACTCACATACAAGCATATATTGCAGATAGTAGGACTGAAAGAGCTGGAACGAGGAGAATAACAGATTAATGCACTGCAAGTAGGAGTTAATCCTCTTGTTCCTCATTGTGATGATTGCTTCTTGCAGGGCCTTGTTCTGACTCCTCTCTTGTTCTCCTTCCTCTTTATAACTTCCCTGAATACAGGTCAGGAGTTGTACTGAAAATAAATAAATCCCTATTTACAAATCCCATGGCAGCAGTCACCTCAAGTCCTTCACTGTCACAAAAAGCAGATACAGAATCCCCGCAGTGAGGTTCTGCTCTGAGACAGATGCACACCCCATTAATAAAGGAGGGGCTCTGATCTAAATAAAAGTCATTTCAGTGACCACATTTGATATTTGATGTTTATGATGATTTAAGCTTGGCATGCTTCTTCCCTCACCTGATTGTTGATGCCATCCAACGTGTGATTGGCATTGTAGAGTGAGTAGGTCAGCTGGTACACCCCGTCGTTGGTCTCACTGTTTCCATAGAAACCCACTCCTACAGCAGAACTGTGAAAAGGAAAGACTCAGATAAAATGTAAAAATAATAATGATTATGGGGCAGCACGGTGGTTAGCGCTGTTGCCTCACAGCGAAAAGGTTGCTGGTTCACGGCCTATCTGTGCGAAGTTTGCATGTTCTCTCTGGGTACTCCGGCTTCCTCCCACAGTCCAAAGACATGCACCTTAGGTTGACTGGTGACTCTAAATTGCCCATAGGAGTGTGTGTGAGTGGTTGTTTGTCTGCGTGTCGGCCCTGCGATGGTCTGTCCAGGGTGTACCCTGCCTTTGCCCGATTGCTGGCTGGGATTGGCTCCAGCGACCCCATTTGGGACTGAGCAGTATAGAAGATGAATAATGATTATAATAAACGCTTTTGTTTGATTTATTATTCTACGCAATGAAAATGAATTTGTTTTGTCTTCCAAAGTGGAAGTCTGCATCATGTGACATGCTACTGACAACTAAAAAGTGTTCAACAAAAATTTACATGTTTCTTCTTATATGACCTTTGCCTCCACCCATTATTATGTAACCATTCTGAGATTTTGAGTTAAACATATCAAACCTCTATTTTCAGCTGTAACTTTGAATTTGTCACCCCATTCATGGCTAACACCACATCAGAATTCTGCTCCACATCTGAACAAGTATCCAAGTGAAATACAAATAATCCCTATTTCCCACTTTCCTGCAGCCTTTTGTGACTGCACCTGAGCCTCTGTAATAGGGAGGATTAGTGTCCAAACCTCCAGAGTCAGTATAGCCCGAATTCTACTCTACAGTGACATGAACAGTGATACAGTTTCATCATACTCAATTGTAGCAAGGTCAGTCTACACAAAGGTTGGAGGTCGGTAACGTTTTCAGCCACATTTATTGGCAATTTCCAGGGCCAGAGGAGTGAGCTCATTAATCACAAGGCAATTGGAGAAGGACTATTGTAACAGGACATCACATGCACATGCCAAAACAAAAAGGAAGAGTCTGTCAACTCTCACAATTATTCATATGTTGAGAACCCAACCTGTGTTACAAAACGCCATGCGTGTATATATACACTGTATATAAGCATGGTGAGGTTAACACTAGTAAGACAACATCTGATGTTAGCTCAGCTCATGAAGAGGATATGGGGGCTTATTTTAGAATTGAATGCATCCTGTCAGGCTGTGTGTGATATGTCACTGTGAATGGTTAGGTGCAAAAGTGTGTTTTTGTCTGCCAGCTCACTGTAATCTTGTAAGCATAATAGAAACCACTGCCTGTGTCTGTTCCATTAAACTAGTTCCCTCTGGTTATGATTAGGGCCACTGGGGGCCATATTCTGTACAATCCAGCCTGAGGGAAAAAAAGACACAATTACAGTAACCCTTAGACCCTGAATGTGGTTGTTAAAAAAGCAAAACAAAAACTTAAATTAGCTGGTTAAAGGCAATGGAACAATCTCACATCACACTTTTGTGTGATGTGAGATTGTTCCATTTCTGTGGTAGCCAGGGTGATGGGGATTTCATTAACCCTGTCACCAGCGTAGTGACAAATCATTGACAATAAACACCCACTAATGACAGAAGACAAAAGATCATGGGGCAGTTTAGCCTCCAGGAAAACATAAGCATGTTTGTAGTTGTGGTTAACACTGTCCACAGCAGCTAGGGTTGACTGATGAATAGGGTGAATAAACAAGTAATAATAGATACATATCTTTATTCTGATAGAAACCAGAGTGTCTCACAGTCTACCGGAAATGTGTTCTAAAAATTCTTCCTTCCTGTGCCTGTCTCTGTTATTCTTCACTGGGGTGGCTGTGGCTCAGGAGGGAGAGCTGTCAACCCCCAGCCTGGAAGTTCGATGGTTTGACTCCCGTTCTCCCCAGTCCACATGTCAAAGTGTCCTTGGGCGAGACAGTGAACCCAAAGTTGCTCCGATTGCCAGGGCATGCACCTTGTGTGTGTGAGTTGGCGCCACAGATGGCTGCCTCAGTTCTGTACCGGAGGAAACTTCCTTGTGTGTGTGTGTGTGTGTGTGTGTGTGTGTGTGTGTGTGTGTGTGTAACATACTTGGCTATAAAAAGTGATTATCATTATGGGGTTCACACACAAACACTCTCCTGGGGTCAGAAATAACCATCCACAGAGGTGCTTAATAAATCCTTTTTTCTATTTAAATTATGCAGTGCAACTGAGATGTAATGGATATCATGCTAAATTTAAAATATGGAAAATGTGAACGGGGTGATTGTGATAAACAGATGACAATACATCTTGATTCATTTTAGCTAATAAAAGTCACATGACCCAACAGAAAAAAAGGATATGTACAGTTGAGTCCCATATTATAGAAAAGTATTTTTCCACTAGAAAAAAACATTGAAAATATGTAGGAAGCACTTTTTTAATTAAGCTGATTCTGCTAAAGCAACAACACCAGTCAACAGGTATACAAGGTTAAACATTAAACTCATGTCAAGAGAAACAACTACACAACCCAAAGACCAACTAGTTTTATTACACAAGTCATATTTACGACAACATCCGGCGCCGAAAGCGACGGCGACCGAGGTTACTGGAGCTCTCATATTTAGGAAGTGTCGTTTTAAACCACAAAGCCTAACATATAATGTAAAGACTGTCGCTTCAACATGACAGTAATGTATAGCTAGACTATTTGAACTGGGTTCAGTATGCAGCAGTTTATTTGTTAAGCTGAATATACTCATGTTCAATGGAACAAGCCTTGACACAGAGAGATGAGAGGTCTAAGTAAAGACTAGACAACAGAGCTGCGTAGTCAAGCAAAGTGATGCTCTGAATCATGCCCAGTCACTTACTGGAGCATTATACAAACCTTGTGTGTCTTAGCAGTGATTTGGTGCGGACACAGATGTCCAACAGAGTTAAAGCCCGGCACAATAGTGTCACAAGTTTAAACGGCTCTGTACACAAACTCAATTAAACCTTTTGGGTGACTTGTTTGTTCTGTTTGTCGGCCAGAATCATTTATGCCAGTGTATTAAAGTGCATTAAATCACACATACAAGTACAGTTATGTCTGAGCATGTGGTTCTGGACATTTAATGGAAGCTCCCTGCTCATTTATGCTTGGATAAACTTGCAGTAAAAGCCAGATGCTGCAACAATAGATTAATCATGCTACTAAAGTGAGATCTGGCACAGCACTGTATGTGTAATTAAGCCACTTTTAGCAAGACAAGACAATATATTGTAGAAGCACAATTTTTAAAAGGTCAGTGTTGCAGAATTCTAGTTTGGTAGAGAATTTAAACAGACCAAGCCGAGGAACCATCAGGTGGGTGTAGTCAGCTGAGGGATTGAGCAGCTGTCAGTTCATGCAGCTGTCAGCTGATCGGACCCAGCTGATGACGTGGTCTGTCAGAAATATGGCAACTACACTGGCCTTATTTGTATTGTTTAGAAAAAAAGGTCAGTCTTGTTTACAACCAGGTAATATTTTTTAAATAACTTTGATCTCTTATCTAAGGAAACTAACAAGTCTAAACAGCAGCTAGAACATTTGACTCATGTTTGAAAGACTTACTTCCTTTGACAGCCCCGTGCTTTGTTCAAGTGAGACTGGATAACCAATCCAACGTTAGTCATACTGTGCCCTGTCTTGATAAATTATGTGAAGTGTTTCCCTGGTTTGGTCAAAGGAAAAAAAAAACATTTTGCCATCAGACTCACCATATGATGAGGCCTGTGATGACGGCAGCCCAGGTGACACAGCAGGTATTGGGCCTTTTGGTATCTTCCTCTATGTCTTTGCAGCAGCAACACAGGCAGACCAGATATACTGTCAGAACTAGCAGGCTCAGACCCAGACCAGCGGCACCAACACATGCTAGAAAGATCAGCGACTACGTCAGGACAGTCGAAAGAGAAAACATGTAAAAGACAAAAACACCATCCGTTAAAATCGAGACTCAGTTTTCTACTGAAAAATACATCTACCGTGAACTCTTCAACAGATTACATCCAGAAATATCATTAGACAGACAGCTGTTATGTGTGGTCCTTGGGCGTCCCACCAGTATCAAACACACATATAGGTTAATATGTAGCTACCTCATCCAGTGATTAACATTATCACAAAGAGAGAGCACAGTAAATCATTTTTTCTGCCAAGTGCCATAACAGAATTTAGACTGTGGCTCTGAGAAAAACAAAAATGATCCAAGGCTGAAAGAGGAGGGGGTGGGGGGGGCATCATGTGGCTTTCTTTCGGTCTTATGATTTCTGAGTGTACAACACATTTAAAGCCTGAAGGATGGAAAGAAACAGAAAACACTGACGTAGAAAACAGAGGGAATACTATATTGAAATAGTCTGTCTGTGGATACATGCATTTTGGACCATTTTATGATAAGCCCCTGGAGATTTTTTGCATGCTCCACAAAGTAAAGAGTTACTAAAGAGATTCAGAGAAATGTAGCATGCTCCAAGGCAGAGAAAATGGCATTGTTTATTTGAAAGAGATTTCTTGCTGTTTGTTTTCTGACAGAAGTTCCATATGACCATTTTACTGAGAAAAAAAACTGCTTATACTTTTCAGTAGCCTATTTCTCACTGAAGAAGCTGTCTAAAAGCAGTAGAGACATCAATTTGTCTGCTTGTCTTTACACCACCATCATAAAACAGATGTCCAGTGATTTAAAGCGTGTTTCTACATGCACAAACAGCGGTGTTGCTACTGGCTGATACTTTCAGTGAGGTATCGGCATCAGAATCAAAATATCCAGACTGGAGAATCTCCAATGTTTATCATTATGAACATTTTGTAGGTTCTAACTCACAATATTTGAGCTCTTGATTAGTTTACAGACAATCCAGAGAAATAGCATAACCTTGGTTTTACTTGCAAATAATTTGCACCTAACCTTTTTAAGGCCACAGTCTGGTCTGGCTGACTAAGCAGAGCTCTTCCTTGACTGCAAAGTCTGTGACTAATTCTTCCATTTGGATGACACTGACACTAAATTGACTCTAACAAAGCCCTTCATTGTTCAAACTCTGTTTCAAGTTATGCTATGCTGTATCCTATTTTTCTCTTAGTTTCTCTTATCCAAGAGGTTAGTAATTTGAACTGTGTTTAGAAAAGAAAAGCGAGCATCAGACAATGTCTTAAAGCAGTGACCACATGATGAATGAAGAAGCATACAGTAATGCACACTATATTACTACACATTCATTTACAAGCTAAGTTCAATAGTGGCTTTAAAAAATGCCAGTCGTTCCCACATGAACAGTTTCAATGTAACTGCATGGAAAAATACAGGTGACATAACTGGTGTGTCATAATTTCAACTTAAACTAAATAGGTCACAGAAATGGAGCTGTCTGAGGAGCCCTACGTTAACAGACACCCAGGCCAAAACCTTAATTCAGTCGTTTTCTAATCACTTTTTTTGTTTTGTTCTGAGGACACTGTTAATGAGTCAAGAGTTGCTGTGTGGACAGTCAATGGTTTTAACCCTGGATAGATTTCCTCTCAATATAATTCAGTTCAAGTAACTCCCAAGCACAATGCTGCTAGTTTCACTCTCTCCTCTAATTTTCCACTCTATTGTTTTGTAATTAGACATGCAAACACTTCAATTTCCACTGGCTGTAATGCTACAATAAGGCAAAGGATGCTTGTGAGAGAGAGAGATTGAGACAGAAAACAACTGCAGTATCTTTGGTGATTGACCGAAAGGTCGTTTATTGTTGATCCTCCCAAAAAGATGTCTGTATGAGGAAGAGTTAATTATGGACGCATGTCTAATTTAACGAAGCACTAAATATCAAGTCTTAAAAAATGTCTGTAGTTGCTGTAGCTTTCTACATTTCTCAAAAAACAACAGATCAGCATGGCAAATGAAGAATATGAGTTTCAAGATTTCAAGCTTGAGATGTGGGGTCAGCCCTCTGAACTACCAAGAATGTCTGGAAGGACACTTTTCATTCTGTGTGACACTGCTGGGATTCAAGGTGCACCTTGATACTGTACCTGAAGAGAGAGGTACAGTGAAGGACACAAGTCAAATGGGCAAGGTTTCTCTGAGGTAACTGGTTCTGTATTCATAAATGAGCTGGGACAAATTAAACCTGCAGTATCACTTGGATACTTACTGTTCACACAGAGACATGCATTTACATTGTAGAGGACCATTGTTGAATTTTGCAAGATGAATGTAAGAAATCTTTACAAGCCAAAAAGATTTGGAAACAACACCACAAACAAATAAAAAGCTTTTATTTTGTTGGAACACATTAAATAATGCAGTGTTGATAGTTTGGCTCAAATGAATATCACTGGTGATTTTTCATTACATTTATGTCTCTCAAACTGTGCTGTGGAGATATAATCAAAATTTTTGTACTGCAATATGCTGTGTGAATCCAACTTTTTAGACCAAATTGTAGAAAGAACACGCACACCATAACAAAAAAGTACAATTACAGTGATGGGCTGCAGATGGAAAAGTATGGCAGCAACTGAGCATGAGCATCCATTTGTTTCCCACCATACAGCCTATTTTATCCATAATGACTCTGGTCCTGCTGCTCACAGTCAGTTCCCATCACTAAACATGACAGTTTGGGGCATTTAAATGGTCTCAAATGGCTGTGCAAATGCAGTCTGGAATATATATATATACTGGGAAAATTGTTTCTACCTTAATTAAAGTAATATTATGGAAAAGAACAGGCTACAAAGCAAAACTCACTCACCTCCAAAATGTGTTAGGAGCAGTCAGTCAGTGTAATTTCTAATGAATTAATTTTTTCAAACTGTGGGTCCATATGGAAAAAGCTGAGAGATGATGAGTGCCATAGCTCTGTACTTCCATATATACATGCAGACGTGTTAGTTAATACTTATGTGTCATCATGTAAGAATTTTAGAATAATATGGGGTTTTACTTACTGATGCATTAGAGAAACATTTAAAAGGAGAGAAAAAACATTGTGTCTCGGATATTTGTCAAAAATACTTTCAAAATGTACATTAAATATGCGGTTTACTTTTTTTTTAATCAGCAGTCCACCACAACAGATTTCTCTGCTTGGATTATTTTGAAACTACGTGGGATTTTACGCACAAATACAATTACCGACCTGCTGATAGCTCGTCTCCTCCGGTCTGAAAGTGTTGTCGACAGACTGGAAAACAAAATTGAAGTGTGGAAAATTATGCAGCCAGTATGTCCACCACGGAGCAACGTAATAAATGGCCATCCCTGCTTGGAAATCCACGCTTTCCTTTAAGACCTAGGCACTTATTCCCAGATTTTGCGACTTCACTAGAGGTTAAGACTTTCACAGCATATTAAAGAGGAAGTTCTTCTGTTGCCCGGACGCCTTTGGACAAGGTTGACAACTAATACCACTGCCAATTCCCGTTCCCATAGTTGTGTACAAACTGTTGATGTGCGCCTTTGCTAAAACATATACAACTTGACCGAGGGACAAACGTCTGTATCCGAGACAAGGGATCGAATGACGATAGGAACCTGCCTCCTTTAACAGAGAAGGCGTGACAGCCAGTTGCTAGTGAAGGGGCCAGGCCTCTTCTTCAACTTAGGAAGAGTAAACTATAATATGTGGACTCCTGCAAAGAAATGTATGAGGGGAATATCCTCCGGGGGGGCGAACCGATTCCCATACAATATACAATGAGGAAACACACCGTGGAGGCCACCTGCTCTGGCCTCCACATGTAGCTGCTGATAAAGATGCACGAGTATTCAATGCACTATTTATGACTTCTGCTGTTAATGTCTGACCTCTTGTGGACACTGAGGTGCACGGTAACGAGCGTGGTACTGTAGTGACATGCAACGTTGGCTTCTGCTTTACAGGCTTAGGGTGATGATTTATTTATTTGTTTATTTTTTCGGTTGTGAATGTTTACACCTGTATTAGAATCACCACACTATCTGTAATAAATGTGCATGAATTTATTTTCACGACCGCTGGAGAAATATATTTTGAACTCAGTTACAGCTGCCACCACATGACACTTAATGCTTTGTGCAAAGGCAAGGCACAGTACTATCTCAGTAAACAGATGCAGCACCGTGTACCAATTTGAGACTTTACACCATTTCTCACTCCCAAAAGTCTTAACATGAGGGGGTTTCAAGAGGTTTATGATCATTTTTTAAGCATTTTAAAATTAGTGAAACATATTTCAGCTGCTTCTTTTCCAGTTAAAATTTATGGTTTTAGGAGGATGTATGAAAGCCTCTGCCTCTGATCTGGTGCATTTTTAAAACAACTTTTGACAAGCTGTTGAGGCTCTGACAATGAAGAACAGCTATAAAGCAGAGAGTCATACTAGGTAGGATGTTTTAAGGCTTGAAGGATGGAGCTTTATGGATTATAGTTTTGCACAAAGGTTTTTAAGCTGGTAAAATATACAGTATTAATTAAAATGCAATTAGCAGCATGAGTGAGGTTGCAGTAAGCTATATTGTGCAAAGTGACAACTCCTCAGAAAAGCCTGTTGATTTTATATCAGTGCTAATGTGCTGGTTTCATGTATGTCAAAGAGTTTTTAAATAGTGTAAAACATTGCTGCTGCAGTCTAAACCCTCTATTAGCGAGACAGACAGCTGACAGACAAAAAGCTGGATGTGAATATATTTGTCAAACAAATTCAAACTGATGGCCCTGCGATGGACCAGCGTCCTGTACAGGGTGTACCCCGCCTTTTGCCCAATGCTGGCTGGGATTGGCTCTACCCCACCACCACCACCACCCCATTCGGGACTAAGCGGTATAGAAAATGAGATGAGATGAGAATTCAAACTGATAATAATTTGAAACTGATTAAAATTTAAAGAAATATATTGGAATTACACTATCTTGGAAAGATTCTCCAAAACATTTTAAATTCCAGTTACTGTACATCACTTTGATGCATTTTCTGTAAGGCAAAGAGATATATAGATGCTGTTAATTATAATTTAATAATACTGTTAAAAATACACTTCTGTAAATGGCTTTTTTTGTGTTAAAAGATATTGTTCCCACTGTTGTTGGCTGAGAGTGTAGTGACTAGATGATGAACTCTTGAGCAGGACAGTCTTTGTTTTGTCTCCTTGTGCTATAACCTATAATGTAACTGAGAAAACAGCTCACATATATCAGCTTCTGTGTCATGACATTACACCTGGCTATGACTCATCTGCCCACATCATATCAGAACTATATCTATATTATAAATGGGTCCTATCTTATTGACAGCAGATTTACATACAGAAAGAACACTATACAATCACAGACAGCCTATCTTGGGAAATTAAAAAAAAGTTTGCAGAAAAGGTTTCACTGGCAGGTAAAAGGGAAATTGAAAGTATGTTGCATGAGTTTTGCCTTGGGGAATAGTTGCTTTATCTACAAGGAGTACAGAGAAGTTTGATTGCAAGCTAAACTATGTTGATATAAAATGGCTACCACTTTAATTATTTGGATGCTTTGATGCACCTCCACAGTCAGATTGCCTAGAGAGTGACTGTGAGTAGGTGACACTTGAAATGCACTGAATGAATATGAATTCTTGACTGTGCTCTGCATTTACAAACAGTTGGGTGTGCAGAAAACTCACCGGTGATTGCAACACCAATCACAGGGACCAGTGTGAGAGAAGGAATGACATGAACAAAAACACTTCTGTCTGTGTCTCTTTAAATCAGACCACATGTATCAAGCTTTCCTGTCTGCTGTTCATTTATTCTTGTTATGTTGATGCAGACAAAATGTGGCACACCCACAAATCACATTGATGTCAGTGTGATTTTCTACCCAAAGTGTGTATGTAATAAGGCCACAACAGGCACTAAAGTAACATTTCTTTAAACATGTTTGTGCTCTGGCTAATTCATCTTCTGAGTCTAAACTCAACTAGTAAACATCATTTTGTGCATTGCAACAACACTGTTAGTTTTTATTCTGTAGAAGATTTATCAAAAATGCATGCAGTTGTGGTAACTTAAAGTGATTTGGATAAAGGCATATGTCAACAGTTAGACAGTTCATACAATTCTCTATACAAACAATGAAGCTGAACCATTAGGTGGCAGCTCAGTATTTTTACTGTCAGGCTGAGAACTTTGTGCTTCTACACTGTCATCTGGATGTATATCTGTGATGAAGTAACTCATATTCCATCACTGGACAGAGCTCCTTTGTGCATAATACTGTCCACAAAGTGTGATCTAATCTTAATAAACTGTGGCTTAAAAATCAAACCCACTGGTCTCTTGGGTTTCATCAGAGTCTTTGGGGTCAGCCATTTACTGTAGGCACAGATTGTACAGAAAATACATATCAAAGAGAACTTTGAAGTCAAGTAGCCTGAAAGTGGGCAGTGAAGGAATAAAGACATAGAGTGAGTGACAAGTCTCAAGGTCAGTACTATTCCTGTGTATGGCATTGTAATGTACAGAGCATTTAAAAAACCTATATGAATTTCAAATTGTGGGCCAAATATTCCTTCGCTTAGCAGCAGGGGACTTCTGTGGGCAAGCACATTTCACCCAGAGCTCTCTGGAACTGCCTTGAGAATAATGTCACAACCCTAATTTGAATTACAGAAAAGTGCAATTGGACTTTCCTATAAACATGATTATTCCACAAAATGTGATACCAGTGTATAGAATAAGAAGTGTATGAGATGCCTTGACATTCCTAGACACAACTTGACTGTGTGCAGTGGTTTACAGATGTTATTTTCATGAAAATAGAAAAAAAATCCTGCCAGTCCTTTTAGATACAGTAGCTTCTTCCTCATCGTGTGCTCAAGTGTTCTCAACAAGTGTCGGATTTACCTGCTGATTGACTGTCTCCATAACAATCATAGGGATGACTGGCTCATTTAGGAGCATTTTGAAGAGCCTCGTGTCCTATCTCCTGCTTCTTTTACCGCTGCGATTCTTCAAACCGTAACAGTTACTGCTCAGTGGAATGTGGAAATGTGTTGTGTTGGACTTTTCCTCCTTCATGGTTATTGCTTTTTTGAATTTGTGACTCAAATCCCCTTGCTCTATTTTGAGTGATTTATACATATGAATGAAGATTTATGCCTGAGAGCGCAATGTGCTGGTATTATCCAATCAAACAGTGCTGCTCAGTGGCTCCTGAGATTGCATTAAAGTGTAATATCAATGCAGCAATCCTCAGGATATTGCCACTATGAAATACTTAGTCTCTCTAATGTTAGAGGGTTTTGTCTGTTTAGATTATGTTTCTAGATAGTTGTGATAAACTAATGAAAAGTTGTTTACCATGTTTAAATTATTTTATCAATGATTTGATGTAAAGAAAAAGAAAAAGCTGCCAAAGCAGTGCCCACGCCATGAAATAAAGAAATAAATAAAAGCAGGGGGAATAACTAGACTACACTCTGTCTCTGTCTGTACAGTAAATCAAATGAAACAGAGTCCCTGAAACTCATTATCTAAAAAAAGTGTCCTCATTGCAAAATAAACTACACTGATTTATTTTAATGTGTGACAATGTAGCCAAAGCTTAGCAAATTCTCTGTGTGGAGGTACTCTGACACTTCCGAACCACCTTTACCTTCAAAAGATTAGAAATCAGTGCCAAAAAAGAGAGGACGTACTGTGAATTCTTTAGGGGCAAAATGCTCCATGGGGTTCTTAACAAGAGCAGGTCACGCTGTCATGCTCTGATGCCCAAAACATGCATATTTTTCTTTATTTTATTGATCCATTACAAACACTACAGTCAATAAAAATGTGTCAGTTCCTTTCTCACAAGACGACTGCTCTGAATCTCGATCCTTTTACTTTTCCCTCTAGGGTAAAATTCTTGTTCAGTGTGCTTATGCTTCAAGGCCAAATGAAATCTTTAGTGTGCAAATAATTCAGCATAGTTCCCCTGAGATCTGTCTCTGCCACGACTTACTCATGTTTTTGTTTTGTTTTGTTTGTTTTGTTTAACTCTATGTGGTTAAGCATTTAAACCAAGAAACTCAGACAGTGGTACTACATGAGACAGCAGCCTGGATGCCATGATTATACTGCTAATTCATACAGCTGCCCGCTGCTGTAAGGACTGTTTCATGAAATAATGATTTTCATGAGGAGAAAAACACTAAACTGACATTGGCAGATTTGTCCTTTTTTATATAATTCCCCTGCAGGAAAATGGTTTTCTTAGCCTGCAATCTGTCCAATTAAGGATTTACAGCAGTGCAAAGCTGACCATATGATATACGTGGCTCAAGTCTATTTTTCAGTCTTTGGAGAAAATCCAGTCATCTCAAATAGTTGCTTATGGTAATAATTGCAGTGGTACTGTATTGATCTGGTGGGTCCGTGAAGTAGAAACAAACCAAACACATGAAGAAAGGACAAGGTGCTCCCTGTGTGTGGTGATATTTGTTTTTTTAATCTGGCCTTGGTATGGATGTAATAGAGGATGCATTAAGATAAAGTAGAGGCAATAAGTTTTATTAGCTGCTAGTGAGGAAAATGCCCCCACAAATGCTTCCAGATCCTTTATTCAGTCTTTGAATGTTGTAAAGGTAAAGGATTACT